CAAGGAGATGAACACCAAACTAAGCATTTTAATCAATAACTTAAGTAGTTTGACAACATCATTAGTATCACACATTAATTTCTTAGACATTATTATCACCAAACACGTCAAATTGTTAACAATCAACTCACGTTATAACTTATTTATAAATGTTCTCTCCCACAATTTCTCCTTCTTAATTATGATATAGGTATCTCAACCCAAGATTAAGTACTTAAAGGATAAAACCATTTGCCATCACCACTCATAAACTATCTTTTCGTATCTTAATCTTTTATGACCTCGTGTGGTATAAGTACGATACCTAGAGTTATATATATGATATCAAGTTGAAATTAATTTTGTTAAAAAGCGAAGACAACTATATATCTACAACTATTGTGTTGACCTTAATAGTTCATTTTACCATCTACTATTTTTAAAAATTACAAAATCACATATTTTAAGCCTAATTATGATATTTTATCCTTCATTCACTAATTTGATCATAACTTAAGTTGTAGACCTCCTTCTTAGGTGATTCTAGCGCCATTGGACAACTAATACCAAGGAATTCTTATGTAGATCACAAAACCTAATTCGATAATATAAAATGCTTAATTAGGCATGAAACTTTAAATTGAATTAAATTCTAAGCTAAGAGTTCTAACTCATCCTCAACCCAATTATTCAATCAGTTTAATTACTAGTTAATTTTAATCAATTAAAACAACAATTGAAGCTTAATACTACTCATTTATATAATCAATCCCTCAAAACATCTATTAATTACACAAATGTCACCCAATTGCATCAATCTCTAAACTATTTTATAACAATGGTTTCCTACAAGAATTAAGAGTTCCTCCCAATTTCATAAATACACCAATTCATCATCAAAAGCCACATTCAACGAAGAATTTACATCAAACACAAGTAAAGGAAGCATGTTAATGACATATAATCTAACATATTATTGAACGCAATCAAAATAAAAAATAGGGAAGGGGGACTCCAAATGTCCCTTAAGGATAAACAACAAGGTCAAGGTCAATCCCGTTAACAAGTGGTAACACTAACCATTTTTGTGTTAAGAAAATTGAACAAGTGGCTCTCAAGATCTCCTATAAAGCAACATGAACATAAACAACAAGGTCAAGGTCAATCCCGTTACCCAAACAATTACCACACACTCTAGAGCAAGATAATTCACTCCTTCTTACCTCAATAAAAGTTAGAAGAAGGATGGATACCTTAGGGATACCCTCTGACAACCTCTACATTCTCCTCAAGTGTTTCTTGAATTTTAAGTGAAAGAAGAAGAATTATGAGATTTAAAACGTAGAAGAAAAAAAAACCATATTACCAACCCCTTTTAAAACTTCTTAATCAAATCATATTCCTTGAGTTAAGGAAACTAAAATAGGGTCAAAACACTTCTATTTTATATTTTTAATTAATAAAATTACACATAACCCAAAATAGACTTGTTATATAATATTTTTGTGAAACCTTTCTTCATTTAATAAAAGCACTTTTAATTAATTTCTAAAAACATATAATCTTACTATTATTTTTAAAAGCTCTTCTCATTTAATAAAATTCTTTTAATCATTTAAAAAAAATAGTTTTATTTATTTTTCAAAAACAAAGATGTTACAAGCTTGATCAATGATTTTTTCTTACAAGTCAAGCATAAGCTCAAGCTTTAAGCATTTGACTTGACTTAACTTGTTTACACTTTTACTCGTTTTGAATGATTCTAATTAGGATAGAATTTAGATACAATTTCTTATATGTGGTTGATGTTACTTTTCAATTAGAATTCAAGTTTTATTTCAATAATATACTTATATATATAGTCTACATCAAATATATATAGATGTTACTAAGATAAAACTTCAATTCTAATTATAAAAATAACACCAAATATATCTAAAGAATTCAATAAAAAAATACTAAGAATATTCTCTTTTAAATATAAACTTTCTAATTGATTGAAATTTATTGGAGAATACAAAAGTCGTTAAGTTTAACATCCTGTTCTCTAAACTAATTTAATTTTTTAATAAATTTTAATCAACTAAAATAAATATATTGAGAAGTGTTTTGCTAGCTATCATCATGGATTGTATTTCATTTTATATGTATTATCATAATGACAAGCACCATCTTTTTTAGATCCCACAGCTCAAACTCAAACTCACTAATCACGCGCCTCATTCCTCAAACACACCACTGCATACGGATAACTCATGCCACGTACCACCCAACCCTCAGAAGCCCAATTATACTCTACTTTGGACCTTGCGGACAAGGTCGTTGTTGGCCCCGAGAGTAGGCTGATGATAAACACACCTCCATTCTCGTATAAACACATCCCTTTTTTAAAAAAATATATATAAAATATTTAAATTACCCTTTTAAAAAAATGAAATTCCTAAATTTACACCTCCCTTCCCCGCACCCCCCTTTCCCGCACCCCACACTCCACACTCCTCTTCTTCCCAAAGTCTTTTTTCGCTCAATGTCATTAAGCAATATACTTTTACAGTCATTCTGAATAGAAAAAAGGACTAACCCCACCATAACCAGCATAAGAAAGGCTCTTTTACAATCATTAGCATTCCGGAATGTACTTTTACAGTCATTAGCATCGGAAAGTACTTTCCGGAATAGTAAAATTATTGTTCATATAATTCCGAAAAGAACTTTTCGTAATAGTAACTTTAATATTATGGAAAGTACTTTCCGGAATTATGTAACAAAACATTTCCGGAAAATACTTTCCGGAATAAGAATTTAATATTATGGAAAGTATTTTCCGGAACATTTTTATATAATTCCGGAAAGAACTTTCTGTAACACTAAGAAGAAGAAGAAGAGGAGTGCCAGAAAGAGAAAGAAGAGGGGTGTGCGAGGTGCGGGAAAAAAAGAAGAAGAAGAGGAGTGCCACAAAGAGAAAGAAGAGGGGTGTGCAATGTCAGCAGGTGGTCTTGTAAGAGAAAGACTCTTACTTGTTCTATGGAAAGAAACACTAGTACAAAAATAACTTTTAAAATCGGGGTTTTAAAATCAGTCATAAGGTAGCCATTTTAAAAGTGACGCGATGGCCTGTACTGCAACAGAACGACCCCAGAACGGCCCGTTCTGTAAGCAGAAAGGCCTGTACTACTTGTAGAACGGGTCGTACTGCTTGTAGAACGGGCCGTTCTGAAAGCAGAACGGGCCGTTCTGAAAGCAGAACGGGTCGTTCTGGTGCCGTTCCAGACTAAAGTTTACATGCAGATACAGGATAAGGGGGGTGCGGGAAAGGGAGGTGCGGGGAAGGGAGGGTGCGGGGAAGGAAAGGTGCGGGGAAGGGGGGTGCGAGGAAAGGAGGTATAAATTTAGGAATTTCATTTTTTTTAAAAAGGGTAATTTAGACATTTTATATATTTTTTTAAGAAAAGAGGGTGTGTTTATACGAGAGTGGAGGTGTGTTTATCATCTGCCCCGAGAGTATTATAAGTAATAGGCCCAAACCCATCCCCAATAAGCCCATTAGGCTTAACGACTATATTTGATAATTGATAGTAGTCACTACACTAGTCCCTTTTGCTTTCATCCAGTCACGTCGATCACTTGTCACTACAACAAAATAGACTTTTAATGACATTTAATATGACTTTTAGTGACAATAAAAATTGTTACAAATTTTTTTACCGGCATTTTCACATTAGCCATTATATGCAGTGTCGCTAAAATATTTAGCGACAATTATTCAAAATGCTAGTAAAAATCCTTATAATGGTCGAAAAAAGTGTATATCTTTTTGTGACATTTTTTACTTTCTAGTCCATGTGAGACTTGTAAGATGAGTACAAATAAATAATTATTTTATCTCTAATATATATATATATATATATATATTATTTTCTGATCAATAGTTAACCCCCTTAAGTTTAAGGATTATTAAGTTTGATAATAGTGAGTCATCTCATACTAATTTAGAATAATAAGTTATAGGTCTAACTCAATCCTACATAACAAACTTGTAAGGTGAGAGTTATTATTCATTTATATACTCTTTAATTATTTTATTTCTAGTCGATGTGGGACTAAAGTTTTTTTTAATAAATAATTGTCGCTAATAGTAAATTTTGATGTGATATAAATATATTTTTAGTGGCCATTATATATTAGTCACTAATACGTTTATTAAATAATAAAGCAAAGGCAATTAATTTATGGCCGGTAAATAATTGTCGGTAAAAATGAATTTTGTTGTAGTGTGTAGTGGTCTTTGCAAAATATCAATCGAATTACTCAGCCTTTTCTTATTTTATTTCTATTCTTATTAGTTAGCTAGCTTCCTAGCATAACAATTTCACATTTAGTAAAGATCAGTACAATGAAAACATTCAATTTAAGAATCTATATATATTATTACAACTCTTACCACTAGGTTAACGGTATTGATTCTATAAGCGTATGTTTAATACATTTTAATTCTTTGTGTTATTAAAATATACCACTAAAATTTATTTATATGTTTAATTGTATGATTTTTCATTTTCATAATTAGCTTAAATTCTTTTATTGTGTGACTAATTAACTACCTCACAAACAATAGTCAACAATTTCTGTTTAACTTTAAATGGTATAATAACTGTAGGTAGATTAATATTGCTTAATTTTAAAAATTAGAAAAATAGAATTTATAGTTAAAAATTTCAGGAAATCAAAATTACACAATTGTAAAATCATAAAAACTAAATGAATTTAAACCCTTAAATGAAGTATGCAAAATTATTGAAAAGTAACATCATATTTGGATCGAATATGAATTTATTATTATTATATATTTTTTTGGTAAAGAGAGATAAATTAAACAAACAACAAAATACAAACAAATGAAGGGGATTCCACTTGCATGGGTTGAAAGCTGATGGAGTAATACAACTGGGGGGTATCCAACTATTACAACATATATAGTGCTAGAGTTCAAACTCATTTTAGCTAAAATATCTGCATGATAGTTACCTTCCCTTTGCTATATATAGAACCTCCAACCCTTCATCATCGTTCCAGAAGAAGATCTTTTGATGCACCGTGGAAGGAACACCTCCTACCCCATGGATCCACTCTCGACCTAGCAGGACGTTAAAATTCGCCTTGGATGGCGTTACGATAAACATGGTCATCCTCTTCACACTTCCAATCTGCACATCGAGCAGAATCATACCTTTAGGGTGTGAAGACTTTTCCGCATAGTCTGAGATCAATATATTATGAGGCTTCAAATCGGTCATCAATTTCCCAAACCTCTTTCGCATTGTCTTGGGCAAGATATTCACAGCCGCACCTCCATCAACCAATACCTTGTTCACCTCGTGACCTTCAATCATCAAGGTCAATAGTAAAGGTTTTAGGTGACCCTTCATCTCTTCGGTAGGGGAATCGAAGACAGCCAAATTAAACTTGGGGATAACCCTCGAGTTGCTTCACAGGTTTCTTTCCAGGGATCATGGGTAGCCTATGCTCTACCAATTCTCGATCTAATCCTGACATTTTATTGTAATCCCATGCAAAGCAATCTTTATAATCATTCAGTACTCGAATTAGTTCCTCCTTCAATTCCCCTTGCAAGAGCTTGCTAATGTAAGTTACTTTTCTATTTTCGACTGTTCCCAAATTGATTTCCTCGAGTGGATCCTGAGATTCCAACTTATGATCATCTCTGGTTGCTCTTTCGAATCCCAACGGTGAATCATCGAAAATACAATCTAGTTTAAATTCTAACTCTTGCTCTTTACCTTCTTCCAAGTTTTCAACCTCCTGGTCCATTTTAATTTCCATTTTTTCTTTTTCTGTTTGTTTCGAGACGACCTGGTCCCCTCGTTTTTTTTCTATTTTTTCTTTTCCTTCCTTCTTTTCAACCTCGAAGTCTACATCTTCTTTCTTTTGTTTTTGTTTTTCTTCCTTCTTTTTGACCTCGAAATCTGTTCCCTCTTTCTTTTTTTTTTCTTCAGCCAAAGCGGCCGTGCTATGTACCTCCCCGTCTTGTCTTTCCTCGGCCATGTTGGCCGTTCGATCAGCCATGTAGGCCGATATTCGAGCTAAGAAGCTCGAATAAGGATCTCTATCCTTCATTCCTCAATTGGAGTTGAATCGTTTTCGGATTGAATTATAAAACCTTGCTTCACATCCCAACAGAAAGTTTTCTTAATTCCTTCTTCCTCATCCATCACTCCAGAATTGTAGGCATCGAAAGGCTTGGTCTTTGCAAATGCTGTCAATTGTTGATCAGCAAAATACATGCCAACCTCATACGTTTTCTAGTCAGCCTTGAGAACCTCCAACCCTTCATCATCGTTCCAGAAGAAGATCTTTTGATGCACCGTGGAAGGAACACCTCCTACCCCATGGATCCACTCTCGACCTAGCAGGACGTTAAAATTCGCCTTGGATGGCGTTACGATAAACATGGTCATCCTCTTCACACTTCCAATCTGCACATCGAGCAGAATCATACCTTTAGGGTGTGAAGACTTTTCCGCATAGTCTGAGATCAATATATTATGAGGCTTCAAATCGGTCATCAATTTCCCAAACCTCTTTCGCATTGTCTTGGGCAAGATATTCACAGCCGCACCTCCATCAACCAATACCTTGTTCACCTCGTGACCTTCAATCATCAAGGTCAATAGTAAAGGTTTTAGGTGACCCTTCATCTCTTCGGTAGGGGAATCGAAGACAGCCAAATTAAACTTGGGGATAACCCTCGAGATTTGATTAACCCACACGATCTTAGACTCGTAATTCGGGTCATCGAAGAAGTCTTCTCGATGAATATCCTCTTGTTCATTGACGGATTCCATTGCTCCCGCATACTCGGAAGGAAGAATGGAAACTATCCCACAGATGTCCTCTAAAGAATCATCAAAACCACTCTCGAAACAATCAGTGATCAAGTCTTCATCGTCTTCGATGAACTTTCGAGAGGATTCCCCTTTTTGAGGTATAGGAATCGAAAACCGGTTCCCTCTAGAGAAGGGTCTGCGAGGGATATTCAGCGAGGGAATTGCATGGCCTTAGCTAAGAAATGTAGCAAGGGAATAGAGAGGGGTTTGTGAGGGAACATTAGCGAGGGATTAGCTTCAAATTAGATAGGGATATTTTGCGACCCCTTAGCGAGGGAATAACGGGGAAGCTTAATCGCAAATTAGCGAGCAAATAGTAAGCATCCTTAATATAATTAGCGAGGACCTTAGCGAGGGATTGGCGACAGATTTTGCGAGGGATTGGCGACGGATTAAATCCCTCGCTAATTAGCTACCTGTATTTAGCGAGAGAATGGTCTCTTGCAATTTCATCACTATTCCATCGCAAAACTGATTAGCGAGAGATTAGAGAGGAAATAGCGAGGGAATAGTCCCTCGCTAATATGTAATTTTCTTGTAGTGATATAATTATGTATAATTTTAATGTCGATTTTAAATGAGATTTAATAACATATTTTGTGTGTCATTATAATATATACTAATATATATTGTATTTATTATGTGGATAAAAGTAATTTTTAATGACATGTATAATATTATTATAGAGTGGTTGTGAACTAATCTAAAGTTCCAAGGGTAAGCCATCAATTATTTGATGTTTTGAATGATAAGCGCATGCCAATGGAACCTCTCTTGACTGTCACAGTAAATCTTAGATGTGAGTAAAATTCGAGACACAAATAATAAAGGGGACCTCATCCGCCATGCTGCAGCCTAAAAAGTAAAGTGATTAAGCCAAACTTCATTTGAATCTCACAACAGACCCCAACACCAATTGGGCTAGGTTGACTAAGAGAGCTACCATCCACTTGTGTTCAGACTCACATTCACATACCACCAAATGTGACTTTGAACACCAAATAACGTTATTTTATATTTTTGAGAATTTTCTTAAGCATAAAAGAGACTCCACTCCACCTATACACCAAGTTGCAAAGTTTGTGAATGAAGCAGGTACACGTCAATGTTTTTATAATCAAATTGCTCAACAAATCGGTAAAGCACTAGTATAATATTTATTAGTTTAGTATAATATTTATTAGTTTAATCGTAATTGAATAATTGTAATTAAACGAGTATAATAAAATAATAATGATATTAAATAATACATAAAATGATATTACATAAATATAATATCATAATTTTATAATACTAAAAATTAAAATAAATATATTTTTAATTAAAGTCACGTAAAATTCTAAATACAATATTTGAGTTTAAATTTTAATAAACATAATAATGTATACTTATAATAACAAGAGTAGGAAAAATGTCGAATTAATATAATATAATATAAAATATAATCATATAAAAAATTATATATTAATATAAATGACAAATTATATCTTTACAAAAAAAATATAATTTATATCTTTACAAGAAAATTATGAAAATAATAGATAAATAAATGATTCTAGCTAATTTGTAATTTTATTAAATATATTTTCTATTTATCATAAAATATTTTAAGTAAATTTAAAAATAAAAAAATATTGAAGAGTACCAATTCAATCCGGTTCTGTATATTGGTTTTGGACCCGTTCATCAATTAAAAAATATACTGGAATTTTCTGAGTTAACAGACAGGTGATCACGTTGTTCTGGATCAAATTAACTAGTCGAATGTGAGTTGGATCCATTTTTGACAACTATGGTAGACATTAATTGTCTTTTCAAAACATGGACATGCGTTACTACTCAGTACTAACTGTCTCAGTCTCAGTGGCCAGTGCTTCCTTGCAAGTGGTCCATGTGGATGCCATGTTCTTTAATCTTTGTTCTGCGCCTCTAATCGCACCATGCATTTTCTCTCGTTGGAGCATTAATTTGCATGGCTAATAATAGGCTTCACGTAAAAGCCCATAGTTAATGTCCCTCTTTTTGGGAGCAAACATCTAGTGCTACCAGTATCTAATGCTTGTACGTTTAAGCGAATATTTTGGATCTCATGCTCTCATCATGGGAATCATATGTTAAGGGAATCATTTTGGTTCCTAAATAAACACTAATGGACAATGCTTAACCACATTTCTAAGATTAGGGTAAGTGCTAAGTGGCGGACTTTGCAATCAAGCTATGTAGTTTGTTTATAGGATTATATTATTGGTGTTAATTATTTATCGAATTTATTGATATCATAAAAGAATCTGAACAATTTTAATAGAGTAATAATTTAAAGTTTAACGAAACGTTTGAGAGTTAAAATTTGACAGAATTAATTTTAAATTATTAAATGAGCACTAGGTTCCCAACAAAGTTCATCACCTGCTTTCCTCGACCCATTGGTCTTGGAGGAGCGTTCCACTTCCCTACTGGGACATTTGCATTCGGCACAAAGGTATTGCCGAACTTCGATGAATTGTACATCTCCATCTTACCCATAGGGGCGTTATATTGAGGCATGTGAACCTGCCTCATGGTCAACCCAGCATTTGACCCAGCAGTAGATTTAGCCTTCTCACGAAGCTTCTCAGCTTTGTAGTTCTTCATCATTTCTGACTCCTCGAAAGCCTTAGTCGCAGCTCTATCGAAGACAGCACTGCATCGAGGACACAGCATAACCTCCCTGTCAACTTCTTTTTTCTTCGACAAGAATTCAACCAAACTATCTCCCTCTTTTGGGTAGATAGGTTCCTCTTCCTTGGCGAAGTCGTCCATCAGTTCTTCGAGTTTCTCATCGGAAATAGGTTCGATATTTTTCTCATCTTCAACACTGACTTCAACCATATTCACTCCCATCGAAACTGGCTCCACATATCCAGTATGGGCAGCAAATGGATCAGTGTCCACCTTCATTTCCTTTTCCTCGAAAGCAAGGCGACCATCAGTAATCGCTCTCTCGATCAAATCCCTGAAACGTACACAATTATTAGTCCAATGCCCATACATATTATGATATTTACAAAATTTCTTCCCTTTTCTTTGCTCGAATGGAGGAATTTTATGGTTTTCTGGGAGTACAATTTGTTTATCTTTTAATAAGATATCAAATATCTTATCAGCCTTAGTAACGTCGAAACTGTATCTCTTGGTCGAATTTCCTTCTATACTATCTCCTGGTTTTAACATTTGACACTGGTACGTAGGACCAGGACGCAATTCTGCTA